GAAAATCCTCTGATGTATACCTATTTATAGATGAAGGAAGTGAAGAAACACCTTGGCCAGGGTGGAGTTGGTGTCTTCAGAGCTTGCTCCAGGAGAGGACTTGCCGTGTCCTAATTAGGTCAGACTGGTCTCTCTTTTTTCTGTGTTTACAGCTGTGCAAGTCACCACCCTGGCATCCTTCTGGATATCAATTTTCAAAATAAGAGTTTTTCAGAGAAGCTATTTTTCTTCATATATGGAGATCTTTCAGTACTACTTTGGCTGCTTTGTGTGGTATTATTCTACATGTTGGTAGAAAAGACAACAGTGGCCAGTCAGGACAGCTGCTTTGCTCCACAGCCACTGTTGTTGGCTTTGATCCATCTCCAGCCACAGCAGGGAGGGCATGACCCTGCTCCCCATGCACAGATTAGGGGACAAGTATTCTGAGGAAAGAAGTAGATGATAGGGATGTATCACCTTCTTATTCAAACTTTGAACAGAAAATTGCAAACATGCATGTTGGCTATGCACGAGCAAATAACTACAGAAATACCAAAGGTTTCATGTAGCAAAACAAAAAAATACCAAAGAGATCTGACCTTTGTAAAACTCACGGCCACTGAGTTTGCCTTTTAGCCCCAAAAGTCAAATGATTCCCTGGATTTTGACTTTCATGATATTCTTTTTCTGGCTACACTCAGGCTTGGATAATGTTGAGTTTTTAAGGCAGTTCCTCTAATCAATGACAAGACTGTATTGAGCTCTGCACCAAATGATTAATAGGTGCAGGAAGCATGCAGAGAGAACAGTTGGCTCGTTGATCTAAAGCCTGCATTGATACTGATCATTGAGTGCCAATTGATACTATTTGTCAAAATTATTGTTATTAAATTCTAACAGTAAAACTTATTCAGATGAACTGAAATTTGAGAGTTAAGTAACTTACTCAAGGCTATTCAATAAGCAAGGAATAGAGCCAAGATGCAAGTCTACATTGTCTGACTTTCAAACCCCAGGGTGTCACCAGCCACATTGGAGAAGCAAAAAGGAGCTGATACTGATGAAAGTTCTCTGGGCAGCATTAGAGAGTAAGATCAAGGAGGGAGAAGTAGTTGGAAACTGAACAGGAAGTTGTTTACCAAGGACAGCTCTCAGCTCGTGTTCAAAGATGGCCAGGCTGGAAGACCATGTAGACTACGAACCAAACCCTTCATTGCTTAGATCAAGAGTCTAGGAAGTCAGCTGACTTCTCTAAGGCCCTGTATTTGGCTGGTGAAAGACCTAAGGATTCAACCAGCATTTGGGGGCTTAGGGTCCAGGTTTTTCATTTGTTTTTTCCTGACAGTGACCTTGGACAAGGTCAGAAGAACAAGATCATCAGCCCGAATTCCCTGTGAGGCACAGGAAAGATGTTAGGGAGGCCTCAGCCTATGGGACAGCTACTTACCCACACAGAAGCCAATCTCCACTTCTCTGTCCCCATTCCCATCACCAGGCCCAGAGCCCAGGGATAAAAACTAACATGATAGAAAAGTTGAGAAACAATAAAGTGCTCCCAGGTTCCATTGAAGAAGATAAGGTCGCAGCATTGATTCAACTTGGGAGAAAGCTCAAAGTGAAAAGTCCTGATGCAGATTCTCATATACTCCAGGCCCTGTCATCAGCGACTCGACAGACAACAGGATCATTAACCTGAAATGAGATGAGTCTTCTTAGAAGTTATTTTTAAAAAATTAATTTAAGTGGAAGGGGAAAAAAAAACCTTAATTCAATTAATTAATTTTAAGGGGGGCCAAAGAAGGAAACCAAGGCCCCAAGCGGTCCGGGCAAAGGCAACAACAACGAACCAAAAACCCGAACCCCAATAAAAAGTAATAAAAGCAAAATTCTGTAAACCTGGGAGATTAGAGAACATATAAGAATGTGTAAGTCTCGGTCCCATTCCACTGAATGGAGCCTCCGCTGCCATGGATGGGATCGAAAGCCTTGGCAATATGCTGGGCCCATCGGCCTCAGATTGGTCGATTTTGATCCTCAGCAAGCAGCAGATGCAGGAGCTGGAGGCACACTTCCTGAGGGACCCCTTTCCATCCCACGGTACCCTGGTGGCCCTGGCCTCCTGCCTTGCCCTAGAGGAGCAACATGTGAAGAATTGGTTTAGGGTGCAACAGAAGATAGACCCAAACCCTGAACCAGGCTATCAGCCATTTGCACGACGCCTCAGCCGGCTCATCCTGGGCACGCTCATCCTGGGCACGCTCATCCTGGGCACGCTCATCCTGGGCAGGCCCATCCTGGTCTAGCTTCTGTTGTACATGCCCATCCTGCAAAGATGTCCACGACCGAAGCCCAGAAGACCCAGAAGATTCTCCATTCAGGCCCAGGCCTGTGGGAACCTCCGTGGCGGTGCCCAGGAGAGTGCCTGGCCCCGTAGGGGAGAGGGTGAGGAGCTAGAAGCCGCCTTGAAGAGACTCTCCACTGCAGAGCCTGAGGAAGGTCACCTTGAAGACCAGACTAATCCGGTCCAGGAGATTTCTGAGTGGATGGGGGTTCTGCACCTGCCACATTCCACAGGTCCCACGAGTCCTCACTCTGGCTACTATTCCATCTAATTGTTGTCCCCACCTGTCATTTGAGTCACCTAGGAGTGTCTGGGTCTCCAGTCTAGGAGTGGAATGAGTCTTCCTGGGTGCACTTCTTTCCCTTGATGCTGCCCCTGCCCCTAGCCAATTTTATCACTATCTTTCCTAATTCATGGGGCTCTTGGTCTACAACCCGGTGCAGCAGCTGCCTGCATCTCCAGGAATGAAGGACCTTGGCTCTCCCACAAGGATTTTCCCACAGTCCTCTGCTGACAGCCACACCCACATCAGACCTTCATCCCCTACCTGCGTCTTTTAGATACCATATCCAATACAACTTCATCATTTTGAAATAGTTTGGAGCTTTGTCTGAATTTAAGTATTTTTTTTTCCTCTTATTTCCTTTTAGTCTTTGCTTTGTTACTTGTTTGAGGTTATTTTTCTGTTTGATTTTCCTCGATTTTCAATAAATTTTCTACTTTTGATTCAGTGGGAAAAAAAAAAGAAAGGAATGTGTAAGTCTCTCCTTTAGCCACTGCCAAGGCTGGGGATCTGAATGCCCTGTCCCCAGCTGCCCTCATCCTTCCCCTCTCTTCTCCATACCAAAGCCAAAGGTGACCTTTCCAGTTCATAGCTTGCCCTTCCCTCACTCCCTGCCTCCAAGTGACCTTCAGTATAAATATCAAACTGCTGATCCTAGCACAAAAGCTCCTGAGGATTCCACATCTCTGTGCCTCCAGTCCTACCCCCTGCCATTAGAAAAGAATATTTACACACACACATTCTCCCCTTCCTGCTCCAGAGCTCTTCGTGGAGCTCATCTTCAAGCCACACAGCTCTCACCGTATCACCCCCAGAATCAGTGCTTTTGTACCTACTGATAGGCTCTCCCACTCTGTCCCCTTTCATTTCCTCAGCCTCTCATTGTCCTTCATGTGTTTGTCCTTCCAATTCTAGGAATCTATGCTAAAGAAATATTTGCACACGTGCACAAAGATATATGTAGAGATGCTCATTGTTTCATTTTTTGCATTAGAGAGGATATTTAAAAAGCCATCAGTGGGTTAAATAACTTATGTCCATCTATTTTGTGATTACCGTAGAGCTGGAAAAAAATAGTGGCAGGACCAGTCCAGATGAA